TCTCAATGCTCTGCGTGTCTAAAAGCCAACGAAAGGTTCTTCGTCGTAAAATTTACGAACTGGGAAATAGGCTTGGTCTATAGGGAGTATTTAATTGCGGATGTAAACAATCATTCGTTTGCCCTGAATACTTCTGTTTAAAAAGACAAAAATCATAAATAGGAAACTCATCTTAGCAGCTCTTTATATCGTACTGATGTACGTTATTAAAGTAACAATGAATTTGATTTTCTGTATTTTTGTATAGTTTAAAAAGACAATTGATAATATATATTGTATTTTATATTTCTGTCAAATCTTTTTGGAAATTGTTGCAAGTATATGTAGTAATTACGCTTTTATTGAATAAGATCAATTTTTTTTCACTCGACAAAATCGCATTAAAGTTATTTATCAGGTAAAGTTTGCATGTTTAGCATGTGATGAATTAAATTCAATCGTAATTTAATCAAGAATTAATTCTAATACAGTTAATGTAATTCTATTATTATTGATTGAGTATATTATTGATTAATTAATTGTTATTATATGGTTATTAGCCTCCTGTACAAGTATATCCTATACCATAGTATTTATTGGTATGATATACATTTCTCGCTTATACCTAAGAAGTAACAGTGTACTTCGCTCAGACGTAATTTCTCTTGACTTTTAGGACATGTTACACTTCTTCACGAAAATAATACGTTCTTGACGCGCGGCATAAAGAATACTTTTCCGGAAGCGAATATCTTTCTATCTAACACAAGATCATGTTTTTATCTAGCTCTCTTCCTCGTGTCTTCGCATCGCTGTTCACGACTCGTATAAATCATGATGAATGAGAAAACAAGCAGCGCGCATGGTACTTGAAAACATCCCCCGCGCTATATTCCCATCTTTCTCTCTCCATCCCTTCTCTCTCTCTCTCTTTCTTTCTTCGTCTCTTTCTCTCTTGACTCCCGGTACTAATTCCAACAAAAGGACCATTGCTGCACACGGTGGATTCTACCGGGCGTGGAAAATGGAAAACATACCGCGCAAACACGATCCGCCTCCGCCGTCCGAAACACGTTGCCGGGTGGATTTTGTCGATGAAGGGTGGCAGTCGTCGTGGGGTGAGATACCGTAACGGTTCGCCCCCATTTCGCCTACAAGCTCTCCAACCTCCCTGGTCGCCGGGCGTCGGTCGACGAGGGTGGATGATAGTGTGGCGATTCACGGATGAATGTCGCTCGAGTTATAATTGCAACGAGTCGTAATTAGTTTTGGAAATTTAATTATTTCTTGGCCGCGCGATAAATGCCGGCGGCTGCCGTCCCGTGAAAGCCTCCCGGCGAAGAATTATTTGACGATTTCACCACCGTGTAACGTACGCGTTAATCTCACTTCGCCCGTGACTTCGGGCGTCGTCGGAGGTGGTCCTGTAACTGCAGGTCATTAGTCCACATTTTGCCGAATGTACATTGCGTTTTACTTATACCGGCCAACTGCTAACGAAAGTAATTTTCCTGGGATTTAGCCAAATACAAGTTTATGTACACGCGTACGAGGATACGTGTCTCATTAAACGGGTTATCTCATAATAAAATAGTCCTAACATGTTTAGAGAATGTCATAAATATTACGAATTTTATCACAAGTCGTTTTTATTAGAAACATTTCTATAATCCGCAAATTAATTATAATCATTGGCAAATTAAAATGATTCTTATAAAATAAATGTTGTAAATATTTTTTATTTTGTTTCTCTATTTTATTTAATGTAACTTCTTCGTTCTAAATGATAACTGTGAATCTAGAAAAATATCATTTTATTGCTATGAAATATCATTATCTACTCAATTTACTTCCGTTCTTTTAAATAACGGTTATTTTTAACAAAGAATATTTTTTTATAATAACCTTAAAATATACTTATAATATATTATAATATATTATATATTGAGAAAAAATTATTAATATGTACTTAAAACAAGAATTTATTTTCTTCTGGAAAATATTATAAAATTTATTGAAGAAACGATTTTATATAATATAATAAGCAAAGGAAATTTGTTTTGACTTGGTAGTCTTAATTGAAATAGTAAACTTATTAGGATTCAGAATATATTGGGTCATTTAAAAAGTATCCGCGGTTTTTTCATTCAAAAATTAAACAAAAAACCGCGGATACTTTTTAAATGACCTAATATTTTGAATCCTAAATTTGATGCTTATGACAAATTTTTGTGATAGATTTGCGAATATATGAATTTTTGAAATTATACTTGTAATTAATTATTATTTATATATATATGTATAATATTTTTCCGTGTACAGCTGTCTCGACATCGTAAATCGCCAGCGACAAATCCACTATAATCGATCTTTAAAATCGCGATCCTGCATCACCGCCCTTGGTTGCTCTCTCCATTAGCGATATGAATTTTCGCATTATATATATGCTGCTCGTGTCGAAGTGTGTGTGTGTGTGTGTGTGTGTGTGTGTGTACAAAGTAAAAGTTAATTGAACCTGCGGCACGCAGTCAGACATGTTTACACTGCGATTTATCTTTCCGTCCACAAAATTTTTACCATTCCGTTAGGATAATTGCAACTGAATAGAGACTCGATTAAGCGATAGTCACGCGATGAGTCACTCGCTGCTGTTATTCATATTTTTATGCGCAAGGACTTCTAATTGCCCGTTTGTTCCGAGGTGCGAATGAAGTGTGTAATTCATAGTACGTGTAACGGAGTGAACGCAAAGAACTTGGTTTAATAGGTCTCGCATGCATTACACTTTCATAGTACATCGAGTATTATTACGTTGCAATATATGCATATTGAGAAATAGAAAGTGTCAATAAATCTCACTATTAGTTGGTATTTTATCACGAGGAGTTTAATGTCGCTTGTCTTTTTTTTTATCTATCGCTTATTGATGCGTTTCTTGCCACACAGTTATAATTATGCAAATTGTGTGAAATTAAATTTGTGCATGACAAAATATCCATGAAAAAATATGATTACGTAATTAATGATAGATGCTTATGTTTGTACGTGATTTTACAATTTTGTCGAACACAAAGCCAGCGAAATAAAAACATTCATACTTCACGTATGTATTGTTTTATTTATTGTATAGGATATTTTATTATAACTAAGGTTTATCGCGAATATTTTACATTTTGTGAAATGTTCTCTGCGTGTGTAATTAAACTTTGAAAGATTAAACAGTAACGTTTGATCATTAATAGACAATCGACGATCGACGGTCGCCTTTGTTTTAATTACAACATACATTTCGTCTCGTCGCGTCGTGCAGATGACATACATTCAGTGGCACATTCATCCGTGCTTATTAAAAATGAAGTACCTATTTGCAAAGGAATATTTGACAAGGTCTGAGCACGAGCCAACGTATTCGTTATTACCGTTATGTATGGCTGTCGATTGCGTTTTTAGAAATTAATGTTCGCATTCTCTCACCATGGCTTCCGTTCTGCGCTTATTGTTCTGTATTCTAAGGGCCAAGCGCACACAACGCTATTAAAAATTTATCAATACGCGAGCCCCACAAATATTGAAACGATATTTCATTCCTCTTCTACCATCTGATCTTTCTACCACCATCATGATTTTGTAATTCCGTATATTTTCGAATGTTAAAGAAACAATGAAAGTTAAAAGGCTATTAAAAATTAATGAGTAAGAGAGAGTTAAGAAAGAATGAATAGAAAAAAGAAATTTTGTTATTTGTTACTAAAAATAATTAGATATCGATTTTTTTTTTACGAAAAAATTAATAATTCTTTTTATTATTATAGATAATGATTGTATGTGTAACTTTTATGTTCTGTTATTTTCGTTTAATATTTATTTTTATTAAATTTATTTGAAATAAAATTTATAGCTGTGATAAATATCCGCTGAGTATATTGTTACTAATAATCATTGATACTATTTATATTCTTAATTTATGTTTTTTGTAAAATATGTGTTGGATGGCGTTGTTACGAAATAAAATGATTTAATACGGCGAAGATAATCTCTCTAATTGTAATTTTCGCCTTCATTCTAAAAAATTTATAAGACGGCGATTCTAAAAAATTTATAAGACACCACCAGTCGCGCACCCTCTCGGCGACTTTCCAGGCAGATTTTCACAAAAGCTGTCTCTTCTTGAAGTTTTGTCCGGCCCTTTTTGCTTTTGTGTGTCCTACCCTCGAAACCTTCCCCACGGTTTATGAATCTTTTACGAACGCATCGAAGTCCTGAAAACCGACGGCGCCTTTGTTCGACGAGTTTACCCGTTACAAAATGTCTAGAATATGTTAAGAATTGTGATCAATTATTAAAGAAAAATTACACAGAGAGAGAGAGAGAGAGAGAGAGAGAGAGCATACAAAGTAATTCGCTGCTAAATTTGTGAGTGAAAATTTGCATACACTGCTATGACTAAAATATCCGACTGAAGCAAAAAAATTTCAAACAATCAACTGTTAACGGTGGTTGTATCACAAAATGAATTTTTTAAAGATGTGTTTGAAGCTTTTACTATTTGAAGATGACAATATTCTCTATACATAGGGGAGTAACCAGGCATGTCCAAAAAATAATTGCATTTGAAATTAGTACTTTTAACTTGTGCTAGACAAGGAGCGACAGTACATTTTAAATTATAGTGGTATTTAGAACGATATTTAGAAATTCGCGAAAATTAAAAAACTATAGATAAATATAATACGAATTTCCTAAATCGAAGAAAATGATGGGTAACCAGGTAAATATTAATTATAAAACCACACACACCCACACACACACACACACACACACACACACACACACGCTCCTACGCGATACAACCACCTTAACTTGATTTTTTTATTAAACCAATGTTTAATAATTAAAATTATTTAAATTGTAAAAGTAAAATATTTGATGTCTCACACAATATTCTTACAAAAGAAGAAAAGTAAATCTTTCTTAAACCTCTTTAAATATTTGTAAAACTAATGAGACTTATTATGTTTCAGCGATCATGGCACACTTTTTCTTCCTGGCTGCTTTCTTCTGGCTGAATACGATGTGCTTCAACATCTGGTGGACGTTCAGGTGAGTCGTGATTCATTTCCCGTTTTCATTGCTCTGTTTCCAGGAGATAAATGTGTTTTCGAGCGTGACTTAAAACTGTATTACTTACGATGTACTTACGCGCAACCGTTATTTAATAACGACTGTTACAAAGTTGTGAAATCGTCAGGCAGGCAGACAGAGAGGTCTCTAACTTCGGTATCACGAATATCTAAAACTTCGAGAGTGATGCTTTGGAGGGTCGTAAAATTGCGCCACTGCCGTCGAAGAATAATCGGAATTTGCGGAATTTGCCGTTATACCTCGCGACGTTATCGATAAAAATGTTTAAAAAAACAAAGGGAAAAATGCTTTGGAACAGTACAGACATTCCAATCGTCGATCTGTTGCGTAATAGAATACCGTACAGGTCACTGACGCATATATTGTTAAGTAAAGCGAGGCAGTTAACGTTGTAGAGAGACGATAGCTAATTTCTATATACGATTCGAAAGGAATTCTAAATTATCGGGAAATTGAAGTAAACCACAACCGAAAGTTTAGCAAAAATGAGATATTTACCTCGATAGATATTTACCTCGTAAATAAATAGAACGCGGATTTATTGATTTGATTTAGTTAACATCGCTTTTCTAGAACAAAATGCCTAATTATCCCGACGAATATCGATGCTCGATAATGGCGAAATAAATTCTAATTAACATGTCGCTTCATTATAGTCCGAAATAATTATACAATGCGGATAAATCGTCCGTACGCAAGCAGATGATTATAATAATTTAACTAAATTTCAGAGAAATTCTACACGTTTCTTGCCTACGGCTCGTTGTAGCTAATTAAAGTCCGTTCATCCATACGTAATTATGAAAAATACTGGGTCGCGCGAGAGAACGTACAAATCACAAACGCAATTATATTCTCGTTTATGATCGCATAATCACTCAGATTAAAACAGACTACACAGAATAAAATCGTTCTTATGATTTACATAATAAAATGTTCCGATAAAATGTTCAATATTTCCGCAGAATATTTCTAGACAAAAATATATCAGCTTCCGTAACAAATTAATTCATTAACTGTCAAATTTTTACTTTTTATTTGAAAAAGTTTTAATTGAATGATGAATAAATGATTATTGATATCAAAAATAAAAATTTGATAAAATTCACAAATGAAGACCAAGGCAATTAGTGGATTAAGAATAAAAAGCATTTTCCGCAAACTGCTGAAGAGTAATGAATCAATATTTATTCAATAAATTATTATATGTGAATTGCAAGAGATTTAAGTATGTAAATAGCATTTTTAAGATTTAATAACCGTGGATTTTAATGTAAGAATGAAAAATTATATATTTATGCTATTCTGTATACACATTTCATACACTGAAAAAATTTTCGTAAATCTAAGTAATATTCCTTATTGCAAATAAATATTTACTAAATGTAAACATATTATTTGATTTAAGTATTACTTTCTTTTTTAAATAAATATTTATTTGTAGTAAAGAAATGTTTATTTAATTACTTAGTATTATTCAAGAAAATATTACTTAAATTTAGAATTTTTTTTCAGTATATAGATCTTATGCAACTGCTCAGTAAAAAAACTCAGTAATTTTTATTCGGAATATTAAATCTTTTATAAAATGAGCTTTAAATGAGCCTTAAAAATGTGATTTATACGCATCATGATCTATAATTGAAACATAAGTACTCCGGCTACTAGCAAGTACAATAGATTGCTGTCGCGATGAAAGCTTTGCTCGTTGGGGGAACCGAATGCACGAGAGATTGGATCAGGATCACTCGGTCGACTGGTTAATGCGATGCAACACGGTCACCATAACGGGTCGCTTCCTCGTCTCACTGCCGGTACTCGTGGTTCCACTCTCTTTTCTGTTTTATTTCTTTTTCGTTTATCCTTCCTTTCCTCATCGTATTTCTTCGCGCGTTATTTTCATCACGTCTTCTCGATCGAAAAGTTATCCATCGTCTGTATCTCGCCACGCATAATTGTCTACGCTTGCAGCTCGACTCTGTCGATTTATGACACTCGATACGAGATAAATTGATAACAATTTGGCTTATGCGATCATAAGCGATGTTAGAATTCAGAAAAATTTGCGTACGATTAACTTTTGTATTGACCTTTATATTTTAACTTTTATATTTTATGCCATTAAATCAAGAATAAAATTGGTTCTGTATTAACGATTTTTTTAATTTAAAGAGATAGAGTTTGAAAAATTTAGTAATGTTTTTTAATGAAAAGTAGAGATTTTTATATTTATATTTTCATTTTGCGTCAAATGTAAAAATATTAAAAGAAAAAAGAAGAGAGACTATAGTGCATTCTACAATGAGTTGCAAATACATACTTGATTATCATAATGCTTCGCATTAGCCAATCAGATCTAACATCGATAATTATTATTGATTCTTCTAATTAGCTATCGCGAAACATTGCAATGCATTGTAAAACACTTTCCAGAATACATTTTCAACTTCATATCTGAATATTTTATATAATGGCTTTTTCTATTTTTCCATATAATAACTCAATAAGTTAGGAAAAATAAAATTTTAATAAGACATGTCGTAGTCTCTGTTTTATTAAAATGTTCAATTCATTAATTAGTAAAAATAAGTTTTTTTTTTTCATTATCAAAAGTTTATTATTCTTGATTTTATAGTATTTCCTATGTGTGCGTTTAAACTGGATAAAAATTTGCAAAAGTGACATTTTTTGCCGTTGTAATTAAACAACATTTGCACGAGATATTTACCGTATTTTCAACATTTAATTACGCTAAACCGAACATAATATAATACAAATCGACGCAGTGCGATTTCAACTCCAATTGTGACATAACACGAAACTTGTCACTATCTCGTAATGTACCATATCAATTTGTCCGTAACAGAAACAAACTCAACGTAACATTGATACGGTAAATTGGCCGTGATATCCCCAATTTTTCGCAGATCGAAGACAACTGAAATATTTAAACGCCCGCGGTAAACCACGGTAAGCATTTGTATCAACGACCCTGACTTATCATGACCAATGCGGTTCGATGAACTTGCACTCTCACGTCGTTCACACTTTTATTTCACGTTTCTCTCTCTCTCTCTCTCTCTATCGCGCGCGCATATACTCACGCACGCAAACGCATACACGTCAAAACTGTCGGCGACACGTGCGCGTGTATCCACTTGTTGAAGTGTCAGCGGCACGTTGCGCGTTCACGGTGGCTGCCTCGTGATTTTCGAGCTGGAAAATTATCCTGATGTCATTTGCGGCTGCATGCGCGCGCGTATTTCTACACGGTCGTTGCACTGACCACTACTGTTGCATTGCCGATGATCTCTTTTTTTCTTACGGTCTGTCGACTCGTTACTGTCGGCGATGTTCGCCTATCGTTTCGCTCATCACCGGATTAACGCGTTGTGCTATACGAGATGTTACGCTCAGCGAAGTGAATGCCGCTAATCCTCATATGCATAAGTTTTGGACAGTTGGGATAATTCGCAAACGTGCGGATATGTCGAAAATAATAATACATTTTCAATTTCGTGTTACTGTAAATAATTTAAATCCAAAGAATATCTTTAACTGTTAAAAGAGAGATAATATAAACCGATAAAACAGTAATTATGCTGCAAAAGTGAGATAAAACACGATGCTGAAAATATCTTTAAAACATATATTTTTCTATAAAAGAATTTTTTTTTTTACATTTTGTCAATACAACTTCGCCTTATACAAAAACGCCTATTGTTTCTATTGAAATGTGATTGATATCACAGTTGAGTGATACAATATTTGAGACCGACTAGCAATACCACGCTACCATCTAAATGATTTAATTGTATCAAGTGGAAGCGTTCAATAGAAGTCCGTCCCTAATGAACACACCCTATTGTTTTGGATATATATATATATAATATATATATATATACAGCCAATATTCGCTTGCAAATACGTTGTCGGATACAACATAGAGTGCGGTAAATTGAATCAAACCAACCAATTCCGATCTGTGTAATTTTCTTGCGTTAGGCTTCCGTGACAGATGCAACCGTGGTATTCGACACCACCTCCCGTTGCGCCAATTAGTAGCGCTTTACGACATTATACCACCAATGGAAACTCGATGCTAGATCACCGTTACATTTAATTGCACGCGAAGGTCGCATCATGCGTTTTCCCATGCTTACGTTTTTCCGCCTTCCCTTCTCTCTCACTTTTCCTCTTTCTTTCTTTGTCTTCTTCTCGTACTCTCGATACTCTACGCGCCTTTCTTGCGCCTTTATTTTTCCGAGAAACTGTTCAATTATCTAACAACCAAGCAGCTTCTCACGGTCACTACAATCGCCGTCGATGAGCACTCGCTTGCACCGCTGCGTGACCTCGGCGTGCATTCAGCGTTTCTTCTCTGAACGAATTTACATTCTGGCCGCTGCCCAGCATCTGCCTGTGCTGAACCTGCGCACGGATTTTTCACGAAGTTAACCCGTTCGAGGGTTAACCCTTGTCGTTTTTGTTCTCCGATAAAAATGTTTCGCGTTTACATAATGCGCGAGTAAATGTAGTAGACGCAATACTCTTTGCAACAATATCAATCATCGGAACGTACAATTAAAGTTGAAAATTGTCGCGATTTGAGGACAGCAAAAGAGATAGCCAAGAAAATTCATGAGCAACGATTTATGAGAAGAAGCCGTTTTTAAAGACGCTAATCGAGAATCGATATAGCAGTTATTAAAACTTGTCTTGATGCTTTAATGATAATCTGTTGGAAGAACGAATTCGTCTTTAATTCGAGCAATACAATCAGTCATTGTCAACAATAAGGAAACTAATCACAAAGGCTCTCTGCGAAACAATAGTCGAGTCAGTCAGTGTAAAGCAAAGCAGAGCCAGCATGTAACGTCCTGCGTGAAGCGGTCGAGTGTTTTGCAGAGTGTATTAAAGGACAGTTCGTTAAGGTTTCTTCTGTTCTCTCAGAAGGA